CTTTACAAACTATGAGCCAAAGCTAGCCCGAACTACATAGAGAGATCCTGTCACATGAAGAAAGAGAAAGAAAGAAAGAAAGAAAGAAAGAAAGAAAGAAAGAAAGAAAGAAAGAAAGAAAGAAAGAAATGCTTACATTGAAGTTACCTGCCTGTCCCCTTGTGAATATATCTTGCATGTAGTGAGTTATTTGGTAGTACTGCTAGCAAAGCAGTAGTAGTAAGAAAGATAAAATGAATGCCCCAAGTGATTTTTTTCATTATTCTAAATCATTTCTTGATTACCACAATAAATCACTGTACATAAAGTAAATTTTCTTTTTTATTATATCACATCCAAGCACTTTGATAACTTCATTGATACAGTACAGAGTTGGGAGATTTGATGTATTTAGTATTGCCTAGTTGTGTTCAGAAAGTTTTTAAATTTAAACCTCTTAACTTTTAAATTCAAATTATTAATTTTGTTTTCATCTTGTTATACTTTTTCTTGTTTCCCACAAGTAATAGTTCAATTTGACATAAGCAGTCCTTGCCCACCGGGCTTCTCCTACCAAATGCAGTCTTGCACAGATTTCTACAAGAGATTTCTACAAGATTCCAACATTCAAATTATTCGGATCACTTTTTTCAAGTAATAGTCCACTAAGCTTATAACTATTGCTTTAACTTTCTCCAGGGATATAATGATTACACATGCTCTTTATGAAAAGTACAAGATTCAATATCAATGAAAATTGCCCACTCGAATGTGTGTGATACTCACTGACATACAACCGAATGTGACTCGGCCACCTACTAGTTACACCTAACCTGGACAAATCATTTCACTTCTTCAAGCCGTGGTTTCTACCTCTGTGAAATGCAGAGCTGTCTTCCATGCCTACTTCTCTGGTTTGCTGTACACATCAAAGAAAAAGTGTGTGGAAAATTTCAACACAAAAGTATAGTAGCAGAAGATAGTTATTTTACATGTGCTCAATAGTAAGACCAACATGTGATTTTTTTTCTTTTTTGCTGAAAAATAGCAAAAATAATTTTGAAATCACTCATATGAGGGGGAAAACACCTTTTCTTCTTTAAATTATCAATTTTTTAAAATTAAAACCAACTGCTAGAAGTGAAACCTGAAAACTCCCTCCCACATCGACTCCTACCAACCCTCCCTAATGAAACCAGGACACCCCCACAGTAGCCCTAAGTTCTCTTCAACTCCTACAGAAACCTCGTCTTTAAGGAGTGTGTACTCTGATTCAGAAAGTGTCTCTAGCAGCCCACACATCTTCAAAATAAATACAGACATATATCAAACATGCCACCATAACTGTATACACCTTGTATTTTAAAAGCACCTAGTCATAGAAAATAATGGAAAGTTATACTGTCCTAATTTATTCTATTGATTTCATGGGCTGGATAGGGTAGGACAAGGTAGAATAGGATAGGATAATTATTTAAATCTTTTTGTAAAAGGAAAAAGAAGATAAATAGAGCTAAAGCAAATTTGATTGCTAATTACTGTGTGTTTAACCTATCCTGCCTTGTCCAAAATCTGGGGAAGGGGAGGAGAAAGTAACAGACAAATTGCAGAGATGGGTACATTGTAGTAGGACACAAAATAAAATCAATAAGACAAAGTAGACAGTAAGGATGATAAATCCAAATAAACCTAGGAGTAACCCCTCTATTTATGGTTGCAACTGGCTCACACTGTACCACTGAAAAAGGCAAAGAAAGCCAATGAAGAACTAAAACCGAGTCTCACAATTCATCCTCCCAAGAATTCAGACTCACCCGCCACAAAGAAGACAGTGAGCATCAGGAGGAACCCTAGGTCAGAAGTTCTCAAGGGGCAGAGCATTTCTGCTCTCTTGCTTTCTGTCCTCCACTCTGTGTTTTTCCTCCGCACAAGTAGAGTAACAGTTGTGAGCATGGCAAGGCTTTCTCCAAGCGACTTCTTGGTGCTGGATTTTCTTAGTTCATGAGCAGCAAGGGCACTCCTTTCCCCCTAGTCTTTTCCTTCAGCTCGACATGTTTTAGTCTGATTAGTAATTTGAAAAAGAAGAAACTCTTCACTGGAACTTGACACAGCAATATATTTCCTGTATGAAACACTGAAGCAAAGACGGAGGAAGCAGGTTCACTGAGTTATCTTCCAGCTCATTGGTTCTTCTCTGACTTCTGCTGCTCACAGATAAACTTTACAATAAGGCAAGGAACATGCCCAAGACAATGGATTTGTCAAAACTTGCATTAAAAAGTAAAATGGAATACTTATTTGGGAGTCATACCTGTAAATTTCCTAATCATGATAACTTTTTATGTAGCCTTACTATTTAAGTGTGGAATAAGACATTTCCCCTTGAAAGTTTTGGGATGAAAGTGCTGAGCAGGAGTCCACACAAAACTCTGAAAGCATTGCAAGTGTATTAATTCTCCAACACTAGTCTAACAACCATAAACATAATAACATGGACTAAGTATCTTACTATCTGTAAATTACAAATCTGAAATTGATTTTATGGAACTCAAATCAAGGAATGGGCAGGGATGCATTTTTGTTGGGAGTTCATGGAGAAAATCTCTTCCTTGCCTTTGCCAGCACCTGGGAAGTGTGTATGCCTTTGCTTCTCAACACATTATTCTGCCCTTGACTGTACTGACTGGTCTTCTCTCATTGGGACCCTCCTGTCCCCGACTTACTAGGACCATATGGGATTATATTGGGCCCACCAATTCAATCCAGGATAATTTCTGCATCTCAAGATCCTTAATTTAATCATTCCTGAAAAGTCCATTTTGCCATGTAAAATAACATATTCACAGACTTCAGGAATTCAGACATAGCCATTGTCTTGGGAGTCATTATTCTATGTCACCAATCAGTACTCATGGGAATTTGTTTTCACCTTTGAAGACAGACTGACCACTTAACAGAATGTCAAATGAGTGCTCTTATTTTAGTTGCCACATATCTGAATTCCTACTTTCTAGAAAACCTCTGCCTAACTTTTTATTACATTTGAGAGTGGGGAAATCTATGTGGTAAGAATCCCCTACCCCAAGACAAAACTCTCCCAGAAAGGGAAGAAAACTTTGCAAACAAGAAAAAGATTAAAGAGTATGCATTTTCCCCCTAAGTTAGCAATTCTGTCTTCCTTTTTGCCAAACATTAAGCTATAAATATCCCCCCTTCCCCTTCTTAAGTCTTCTCTGTAGTGAGTGAATTTGGCATGGAAGACTTCAGAATATGAGTTATGACAATGAGTGGGCTATAGCAAGCTTCTCTCCTGTCCCGTGTTTAACCATGCATCAAACAATCAGTGAGGAAATGTCATTTAAAATATTAACACTCTGGTGTTTAAAGGATGGTTTTGATAGTAGACAAACCTAAGGTTCAAGGGTGTGGGGAGATGGCTCAGTGGAATAAGTGCTTCCCTGGCAAGTGCAAGGGCCTGAGTTCAATCCCCAGTTCCACAAAAAAAAAAAAAAAAAAAAAAAAAAAAAAAAAAAAAAAAAACCTAAGGTTCAGTCTCACAAGTCCAATGTTACTGGGAAATTTCTTAATCAAATCTTAATTTATATTATAGGCATGAGCTTTTCCAAGAAGCTTCATGGTGATGATCATTATTTTTTGTTTATGTATTTAGTACAAGGTCTATAGGGTCTTATTACACAGATTGGACTCATAGTGATCCTCCTGTTTTTAGCCTCCCAAGCTCTGGGATTACAGGCACATGCCACCATGCCCAGTCTCAATTGCTGTAATCACTGCACACCAGGGATCCGAACTGCAGGCCCTGCATCTGCCTACACAGGTGCTTTCATCTGTTGAGCTATCTGGCCTGCTCCAATCATGATCATTATTTCAATGCCTGCTCAATGACACAGCCAAACACTAAGCACAGAATAGCTAAATGGCCTGCTTAATATCTTAGAGTGGTGTGGTAGTTAATGTTTGCTAGCCATTGGTTCTTTGAATCTACCAAATTAATTACTAGAAATGTACTAGAGCAAATGAGGTAGTATGAAAAAAATGAAATGATTGCTGTCCTGGCCACAGCCCATTTTCTGTTTTCCAGTTTACCTCTCTGCCATCTACTTTGACACAAGCTCTCAAGGCTCATCTGAAATAATAGAACTTCTCCCATGTACCACCATTAAATGTATGAGTTAGAAACTGGAAAGAGTGCATATTTCTATTTCCATGTCCTATTGTTATACTAGTATCTTAAAATTTTTCATTTCCAATATATAATTGATCTATGTCAGTTAATATGAATTAATCTTAGAAAATTAGGAAAAATATATGTTACAAAAGACTTCATGTTGGGCTGTGGTGATAGCTCAGTAGAATAAGTGCTTGCCTGGCAAGTGCAGGGTCCTGAGTTCAATCCCTGGTACTGAACAAAA